ATATATATATATATATATATATAATGGGAGCTGTTTGCTATGCTCAGACAATTTTCAAGCGATAACAGTTAAGAATTCCAGATAAAATTCGCCAGATTAGACAGAGAAAAGGACAGGAGTTACTTGGCATTGTTCAACTCTTCGGGAGATGGCTTGAAAGTACGCAGGGCTGGAATAACCTGCGTCAAGCGATCGTTCAACAACAAGGCACAGGGACCGCGTAAACTCAATCCGAACAGTCCATGTCCGTGGTAAGCCTTGTGGAATGCAACTGTGCGAGTTGGATCATTCTCGTGCAGACCGGCATTTAGTCGATTGCGTGCAGCGTCACCGCCATAGGAAACACGACCCATGGCTCCGGTCAACAAACACGCAGCAACGTCGAAAGCTATCTTGTCAGGACCTTCGCCAGGAGTGGGCCAGGCAATCACAACATAGGCTTCAGGCGCAGCAGTAAGATCGCGACGAATTTCACCTGTGATAGATTGGGATGAAGGCAAACAGATGAGTGTAAACTGTGACATTGGAAACTTCAATCCAAGTTATCAATGCCCCTATGGAAAAAGTTCAGCATGTGTCCATATCTTCAACACCGGTTGGTGTTCTCGCACAAAAGTATGCTTTTTCTCAGATAGATAATTCAGGTAATCTTCGAACAACTGTCGATCAGGTGTACACAATTCAGTGTATTAGAATAAATCGTTTCACAAACAAAGCAGTTTATTCTGTCATTGCCAACTATTCGTTGGTTAATTACGCTACAGGAAAGCAACAATGAAAATTTGAAATTCCGGAATGGAAGCTTATTACACTAAATAAACACAGCATCGGTTAGACAACTAGGGGCTAGATATGTGTTGCTCAGAAAATGACACTTTGGGAAAATTCGAAAAGCTTTGTTTTTACGACTATTAGCCTAAAGCGTAGATGCTGTGCACTTGATTACTGCCTTACAACATAGCCCATCGAAAAGCAAGCGTACGATTGAAGGACACACGATATCCTCTAGGGACTAAAAATGCACACAAATGACGTAAAGGAACAGAACATCACATTCATTTATATTTTATACGTTAACAGATGTTCACAACCATAAATTGAATGCTTTTTTAACCACAATAAGATAAGATAAGCATTAAAGCATGTCATCTCCGTGTCAATTCCACTATGTTCGGCAGTCTTTTGCACCTTATAATCACAGAAGAACTGCGGTTCTTAAAGGTGCATAAAAATTAGCCGGTACAGTGTGGTCAATGAAACTGATACTCAGATGAATCAGACAGATTAAAGCAATTGATCCCTGGGCGCTATTTAAGACTACTGGTAAAATTCCATCTACAGACCTTCCTGTAAATTTAACTTAAATCAAAGACAGAGAAACCTTGTTCAGAAAATAAACGCCAGGAAGAGAAACACATCCGGATGCACCACTCACTTGAGAGCAGAGACAAAGAATATCAAGTTATCGAGCGTAGAAGTAGCTGCAAATGGATAAATCGATTTATGTCATCCGGATCATGAATGAATCACATTCGCCTCAGAAGTTCTGAGTGTACATAATGATAACAATATTAATTTTTTGCTACGTATCGATTCTCCGAAA